TTTAAACTACATATGCATGACATCAAATAGTCTCTTAGGGTTATTCTTACCTGGCTCCCATCAATTTTCATCACCATCGTCCATCCTCCACCAGAACAACCTGAGACTGACGACATCTGACAGTACACGTTCATCACTTGATTTTGTCCAACGCTGATTTGGTAAACACCACTACCACGGTTGCTAAAAGATGTAACAAAATATACTTCAACACTGAGATATTCGTTTTTAAAAATAATATTTCATAAACAACCAAGAACCTGATGTGCATGAACTTGGAACTTAAGGAAGACTTTATATATTTAGTTACAATTAATACCTTTGACTCATCCATATTTGTTTGCAGGATGAACGAGTCAGAACTTTCACATCTTAAAAGAACAAAATAAATGTGCGCTGTTGTCAAACATATAGAAAATCATACATCATTAGATCATGGTCCAAAAATAGCCTTTTAAAACCCTGAATATCCCGAATTCGTAACAATAAAGAAGATTACCTTTAGTTACTCCTGCAAACTTATTATTGGTCACGCGTTTGAAACTTTCTACTGCCCGTTGAAAACTTTCAAGTCTGGTAGTTAGTCTACCGATGACACCTTCAATCTATTTACGAGGAAAAAAATGAATATTTAGTTGACACTCATTTGCCACGGCATTCACAAAGAACAGCCTGGGATTGTTGCATCCATCTTGTTGTAAATTTATGCAGAACAATAACACATAAATCTCATGTCATATTAATCAAATCTGAGTTGATACCATTTCCTGTGGGCATGTTTAACTTTCCATTTTTATTTATCCACAACAAATCTTACATCCTGCTGAGTGGCTAAAGCTTTCCATTGAGATCTTTCTTTAAAATACATTTCCCTGTCATCCGATCGATAGGAGAGAAGACCTTCAATCTTTGGGAGTTTGTTCATTGATTGAGCATCAGGAACCACTGCAATCTGCATAAAATTTTGGAAATCTGCGTGAACTACACTAAACAAACACTAGGCAAGACGTCATAATCATGCTGTAACAATCAATTTACCCCATCATTGATTGTGACATCTTCACCATACGAACAAGGACCCTGTATAAATAGTAAAGTGATATTATAAACAACATGAACAAGAGAAAAAAATCTAGATCCACGTTCGGGATCGTACAAACTTGTGATCAGTAAAACTGAATTTCTATAGACCCAAATCAGTATTCAAACCACATTCACTACAAACTAAGAGGAAAAACTTAACCAAACACCTTATACCTTTCTTCGTAATCCATCTTCCACACGCCATGTTTCCAATTTCCCTGCATTGTTTCTTTCTTTAAACTCCATGCATTTTTTCCAAACACGTTTTGGTAAAGATGAACGGATCCAAAACCAAACTGTGATATTGTCCTCTTTCTTCAAAACCGTCCCACCATTGATTGCCCGACATCTTGGAGCACAGTAATCCTTCTTACTGTCAGGACCAAAACAAGCACAACACTAGAATAAATAAATATTCCAATTTTGCAACATTGTAAATCCTCCACTTGTTATAGACTCTTTTATCGCAGGTATCATACCACTCCGTGATCACAGCCAATGAATGATGTTTGTTTGTCTTGAATACCGGAACGTTCAGACAAAACACTGTAGCTATATGATGGAAGAAAGAATGAAGAGGCTCTTTATATTGGCATTGTGCAGTAGTTCCTTATCATAATTACAACATAATTACAGATCATAATTACAATATAGCCCTTTATCAAAAAGGCGCATTGTGAATGTTAATATGTATGTGTTGCTATTTCATAGCACAGGCTGCCCACGCCTACCTCCATAAGCAGAGGGCAGTGGGGCAGCTACCATTTCCCCGCCGTGGCTTCGGCACCCTTACCTGACTTTCTTAATATACTTTCTTAACCTGTTGACAACGCCCATGACAAAGCAAATAATGGCAAGACGACGTAATAATATTTATAATCACCTGTACGAGCCTGATGTATCAATATGATGATTCAAAATATAGGCAAAACCATCCGTGCAATCTTGTTTAAAACATCGGTTCATTTTACTCTGTTGAAATAAAATGAGGTTAGTTTCGTTTCCTAGAAATCCATGAATTTCACTTTTGGGCGACGTTTCGAGTAGTCATGAAATATTTTACAACTTTAGAGGGTTTAGCTCGATTAGGATTTGAATAATTTTGATACCCATCCTAGTCCAGATGACATTGCACCTCCGAATCGCGAACATTTAAAATTTCTTGTCGCAATCTCTCCAGTCATGAGATCTCTAACGAAGGCGACATCACCAATTCCTGGGTATCGATGACTGCATCCTCCTTTGTTGGACATAAGCAGCTCCGATAGAACACGAGGGGATTTGAAACGATAATACCTTGGAAATACAAAGAACACAGTAGCGTGAGCCGTGTGAAAAAGCTTTATCCGCTGGGGAAAACAAGACAAAAACAGCATTTTAAAAAACCAATTTACGTACCATTGTGCTCGTGTATCGCGAAAATCTTTAGACGTGGAAATCTGAACTCGGAAATCCAAGATTTCTTGCTCACCAAATGCACTTGACCACATTGGCTTACCGTGGGGGTGGATGAAAGAAGCGTTGGAAGGAATAGCCCAGGTTTTTGGCGTGTCTTTGACGCCAATCAACAAGAACCCACCTCTGTCCGTTTCAACATCGCACCATGACTAAATCAATAAAGTAGTTTTGTAATTTGTAATTTTCTAACCTCTTTCTTGGAAAAAGCAGTGTGAATGTCTTTAAAAGAAAAAAAACCTTACCTTTTGTGGACCATTTCGTGTCTGGATCCAGTAAGGTCCGCTTTTCGCTTTTGGAACATTGTCGACAACACCAGAACAATCTTTCGCTGGATCAAAATAGTTGCCATAGGAATGACCTGAACAATAACAGCGTGGTGATACAGCACAATTCACATCGATAAAAGGAAAAACATTATTCAGCAAAAGCTTCAACGATAATACAAGTTCTGGTATGAAGACTTGAACTTTTTCCCATCATAATATCAGAATAAATACCATTGATCATGTCCCACTGATATTTTCCATCGTGTTGAACACAAGCCACAATTTTATCATCATCATTGTAATCTTTCACAACCACAAACTTTCCTCGCTTATCTGCGGTACAAATGCCAGGATCGTATGGGTTGACCTGTTGTTGCTACAATAAGATGAAAGTACATTGATAAAGCACACGTGATTCGCAGTTGATGGGCACTGACTGAACTATGTTGTTACAATTATTATAAGTTGTAGCATTTTCGAAAGGCATGTTCGTGGGCAACCTTGGGGTATTAAGATCTTCTATTGTCGTTTCGACGTTTCCTGTAACTAAACTTTAAGACGAGAGAGGGTAAAAGGTCACAATTGTAGTGTTAAAAGACTTTTTCAGTGTTGAAAGAATCTTTTTGTTATTGTAACTAATTATACTGCCATGCAACTATACTAGCACTTCAGTCGTCTGTTCTTCTAAAGAGCCCTTTAGGAGGTTTAAACCATGCACTACCTGCTCATCACAGATGATGAAAACAGGCGAATGAAAGCAATTATCAAGATGTTAAATCATTTGCGCGCATGTTACCGGATCGATTATCATATATTTCGATCTATTCTGTTATTTCTACTTGATCGTGAGTGCTAAGTTATGGCAACCAAAATTTAGTGCTCTCTATCGTATCGACTCAAATTTTAGATATTTTCTGTTTCGATTCTTAGCCCAGTTTTATGAAGCGTCGCGTGATCATTCCCCCACTAGGTTGACCTATAAACATGATAGACCAAAAAAATATAGAAAATACGTTTTTTCAAAATATAAAACAGTATATACTCAAATAACGCTGAACATAATCAGCACAACCCAGTGGAACCTACGAGCAGCGATATTTGAAACACAGAATGATTGTTTTTAGGTCTTTCAGTTTCAACAAATGACGCAAAATACGACTCACTTCCGATATCGTCTTCGAATGATTATAAAATACCTTGTTTATACTTTAGTACTTACATTCACAGCATGAAGCGTTGTAAAGAGAGTTAACACTAAAACTGTCGCCAATATTTTCATTTTAAACTGCTTCGGATCTTACCCTTGCTAAATATTTCCTCAAATGACGGGATTGTAAAATCAGGATATCGAATTTGTTTTGTCGAGGTGTAAGTTGATATGACCGCTGGTTTTAATCTGTGCAGAAATTTCATTGGCGTACGTGAGCCCTTGTTGAAATGTGTGCATTCAATTTATCTTTTCAAGGGAATTGTGAAAATATTTTACCTCTATACCAGATCTAGTCGTTCATCAACAGACGAATATTAGCGTAAATCTTAGAAGCTTCAATTCTGGGAATTTGACATTGCTATAGTACGATCCAAAGAAGCGTGAAGTCTGATGCAATTTTCCTGCGTGGTCAATCATGGTAGTTATTAAAAAGAAGTACCCCAGATATTAATTGCGACCCAAAAATATCTATTTATAGATCAAGATAATATTTCCGTTTCATCTTCATGCATGTTACAAGAAATTCCACATGTGCCGCTGTCCATCTAAATCAAAGATTCATAAAAAGTGCTTGCAATATACTAGAACTAGTGCAAACTTACAACCTTTTAAATCTATATACTAGTGATAATAAGCAAACTTACAACCTTTTAAATCTATATACTAGTGATAATAAGCAAAGTTACAACCTTTTAAATCTATATACTAGTGATAATAAGCAAAGTTACAACCTTTTAAATCTATATACTAGTGATAATAAGCAAAGTTACAACCTTTTAAATCTATATACTAGTGATAATAAGCAAAGTTACAACCTTTTAAATCTATATACTAGTGATAATAAGCAAAGTTACAACCTTTAAATCTATATACTAGTGATAATAAGCAAAGTTACAACCTTTAAAATCTATATGCTAGTGATAATAAGCAAAGTTACAACCTTTAAATCTATATACTAGTGATAATAAGCAAAGTTACAACCTTTTAAATCTATATACTAGTGATAATAAGCAAAGTTACAACCTTTTAAATCTATATACTAGTGATAATAAGAACATCAGTTAATTGGCTTTGACACTGAAAGGAAAGTAATAAAATCCAAGATGTGTTTGTTCAGTTAACGGACCAGTATGTATCCCATTGCTTTAATATTCTTGTCTCCGTTGTCTGATAAACACGTACCAACATTGCCAGCGGCGTTACGAGAAGGTCCAGGGAGGCAATACCTAAACTGCTCATCAGCACCCAGGCCTAGGAAAGAGTCGGGAGAGTTGCACTCATTTTGCTCGTTTCCAAGGATGCCAAACCGAAGTATTCCATCATAATTGGAAGGGTTCACGTTAAATCCTTCTTTATTGCAATTATGCTGTAAAGATGATCCTTGGATGAGCTGTTTCCATTGTGAACGACCGACGTGAGTTTCACGATACCTGCCGTCAGCGATCAGATCATACAAGGACGATGCTGGGTACGAGAAAGAGATGGCTCTTAGTTGACTACCATGTTTCATCGCGACACAAATTTCATTGAATGACGTTTTCCAATATGCTGATCCTTTGAACTCTCGCTTGTCAAAACCTCCGTTTCTTCCATAGTCATTGTCATTGTAAGTGGTCTTGGACGACCAATAACCAGAACTGTATCCAAAGGTACTCTATAAAAGATTGAAAGAAACTCGTATGGATATAATTACTAAGAATAAACCTCAAACTGGGCAACTCTAACCTTGCTTCCATCAATTTTCATTACCATCGTCCACCCACCACCAGAACAACCTGAGACTGACGACATCTGACAGTAGACGCTTTCCACTTGGTTTAAACCAGCACTGATTTCGTAAACACCACTTGCGGTATTATTGCTTCAAGACAAAATATAATCTGTTCAACTTTTATCAATAATGCAAAACCTATGTTTATATAAAATGAAGTGCAAAATATAGGAATTTACTGATTTAGCAATGGAGTAATTTTTGAAAATGATAAGCGAAGGATAGCTACGATTTTAGTAGACGCTTCCCGGCCGATTTTCCAATTATCATAACACATACCTTTGACTATCGAATATTTCCTTGCATGATTTAAATTCTGCAACACATTTAGAAATGGAAACAACAAGTGGAATTATACAATAAATAATTAAAAAAATACTTTAAAACAAGGATCTGAAATTTGACCCACATTAAGATGTTTGTTTGCATGCATGTGTGAATATTTTTTATATTTTCATCAATTCTTCGCCGATTTTCTCAGCTACTCTCCAAACGTGTGGAAAACAAGACCAAAAGTTTAGACATTTCATGAAATTTCATTATTGGCGTTTCCAAAAGGTAGTCACATCTCAAACTGCATGTGGCATTTCGTTCAAGACCTATACGCCTGAACAAGATTGAACTCAAGCAATTATAGGAGCCAAAAATTGTTTTGCCAATGGTAAACTTGTCCGTTTTACCAAAATTCTTAACAGTGAGGTTTGTTCATGGTTGAATCAGAGTTCTTTACCTTTGCATGTCAGCCTTTGAACATCTTAAAACGAAAAAAAGAATATTATTAGGTGTATTCTACAAGATGTTCATACGCGTTGATCGCGCGATTGCGCTATTTTCTGCGTGCCTATATGGTTAGCAATCACCCATTACCTTTTTTGATCTTTGTAAGATCATGGCTGATTTTTATAATAGCATTGTTGATGCTTGTAAGACCATCTTCAATCTGTTTGCGTTTTAATTCATTCAGATATTGCTTTCCAAGAATGTCCTTCTAAAAAGAAGGCACAACAAAAACAATCTCTTTGGAGAGCCGGTTGTGCATTTACTAAATTTAAAATAACTGATCTGTTATACTATTTTTACAATTATAACAAATTAAATCCCCACAAAACGCATTTAATCTTTTAATCCTCACAATATCAATATTGTACATAATTATTAAACTTAGCGCATGAAGCGTTGTGATAAGACAGAACGCTGTAATTACTGCCGCAAATCTCATGGTTGAGTCAATCTTCGTCTGGTACTGTGTATAAAGCTTCCTTCTTTTCCTCAGCCTGACTCCGAATGACAAGACTTGCTTTTCACATCAACTTTTAAAGGGTGGTGCAACAACATGTTTATTATTTCATAAATTGCATTGACGCGTAATGTTTTTGGGTTGTTTCATAAAATCCCCCCACTATAAACATTCGACAATAAAAAAATAAAAAAGACGGTTTGCAAAATATAAAACAGTATATACTCCAATAACGCTGAACATTATCAACACAATCCAGTGGAACCTATACGAGCTTTGTTATTTCAAACACAGGATGGTTGTTTTAGGCCTTTCAGTTTTACCTCCGATATCGTTTTCGAATGATTATAAAATACCTTGTTTATACTAGTACTTACATTCTCAGCATGTAGAGTTGTAAAGAGGGTTAACACTAAAACTGTCGCTAACATTTTCATTTTAAACTGCTTCAGATCGGAATGTGGCTTCTTACCCTTGCTAAATATTTCTTCAAATGACGGGATTGTAAAATCAGGGTATCGAATTTGTATTGTCGAGGTGTAAGTTGATATGGGCGCGGGATTTAATCTGTGCAGAAATTTCATTGGCGTACCGTTAGCCCCGCGCTGAAATTGTATTTACTCAATTTATCATTTTGCACTCTCGAACGGAAAAGAATGATTGATTGAACCGCAATGTAATTAATTGGAATTGCCCTTGACTTGACAGGATATAGCGTCGCTAGCTGCGGGCCATATCACCCTAATCGGGAACCTGCGCACAGGTAATTTGCTAGTTATATCACGTGTTGTATTCACTTTGGGCATATTTCGTTTCACCTTCGAACTTCGAAGCAGTAAAGTAGAATCAATAAAGCGATCAAAATGCTAGCAAGTGCTATCTTTATCTTTACACTCATTACACATACAACTAACTGCACACGCCGAGCAGAGTAAGCCTGCACTAAAGGATTTCAAGCAGTTTCGAAATGGGCTGTTTTGTGTTTCTCCTGCTTTCAACATGCGACTATAGTTCGGTTTATTGTTCATTTTTATTATTAACAACATTTACGACACAAAATTTGCATAGCTGGGCTGGCTACGCCGCTGTGAACGACGCGATCATATAACGCCTAGTAGGCGTCTTGTTTTATTTTACGTCTATGATATCTGGTCGTTCATCAACAGACAAATATTTGGTAAATCATAGAAGCTTCAATTCTGGGAATTTGATCTTGCTCGTATGGTCTAATGAACCGTGATTTTTTTAATTTTGCGTAATTATTATCTCTTTTCATGGAAATTTGGGTGTCATTGGGATCTAAGCAGAACAATCTCACGTATCATTTGGGTGTTTCAACACCATCAGGTCGACCCTATCAGTGCCTAAAACCGCACTCTGGCGCATGTCCTAAAATCCTGGTTACCGTAAAACTTTCCTGGCAAACGCCCTGGCACAATGCAAAAGCCGAAAAACAAAATTAAAATATTTAAATGAAAAACCAAATAGAAAATAAGTTGGAAAATTGTTATCAAATTCCACCGAAATTCTGAACATTTTTTGTTGAAATCATTGATAAGCCGGCAATTTGTTCTCGTGAGTCGAGTGATTTGGCTCAAATTATTCGCGTGCCCCCCTGACAATTTCGCACCGTGAATTTCGGATGGTAAATATTAAGTAAAAGTCAGAAAACGTCACAAATGTCCATTGTTTGCAAAAGGTTGTTTATTTCCAAGTCAATATTTTTGGGGCAAGATAAACATGGTATTAATATTTCAGTTTTATCCTCAAGTTACAAGATGAGATTATGCGTGCAGGTGAAAACGATGTCCCAGGCTATATGAACTAAAGATTTAGAAAAAAAAAGGAATCAAAATGCTAAATTCAGTGCGAGAATAACAAGCTTTTACTGCTATACTAGTTATGATAAAAAATCAGTTATTTGCCATTGACCAAAGTTATTAATCAAATCCGAGCTTAAGTTTGTTTAGTTAACGGACCAGTATGTATCCCATTGCTTTAATATTCTTGTTTCCGTTGTCTGATGAACACGTAGCAGCATTGCCAGCGGCGTTACGAGAAGGTTCACGGAGGCTACAAAACGTAACCCGTTCATTGGCACCCAGGCCTAGGAAAGAGTCGGGGGAGTTGCAGTCATTTTCCTGGTTCGCAATGATGCCCAATCGAACCTTAACAGTGGATCTGCCATAGAACACGTTGAGTCCCTCTCTGTTGCAATTACGCTGTAATGATGATCCATGGATGAGCTGTTTCCATCGCGAGCGGCCGACGTTAGTTTCTTTATACCTGCCGTCAGCGATCAGATCATACAAGGACAATGCTGGATGCAAGAAAGAGAGGGCTCTGAGTTGACCACCATGTTTCATCGCGACACAAATTTCATTAAATGAAGTTTTCCAATATGCTGCTCCTTTAAACTCTCGGCCGTCTAAACCTCCGTTTCTTCCATAGTAATTGTCATGGTAAGTGTTCTTGTTCGACCAATAACTGGAACTGTATCCGAAAGTACTCTAAAATATATATGTAAAATTATCCTCCATTCCTCCCCCCCCCATTAAACCTAGACCAAAAGTCAGAACTGTATCTGTAACTTTGCTGAACAATCGTAAAACTTTCAGATCGGTCCAAGTCGAAGGAATTTTTATTACTACTAAGTGGTTAACTAGGTTTCAAGGGTTTACTAGTTTACAAAATCATAGAATAACAAGATTGATGTCATATGTATATATTAAGATGGAATATGAAAGGTCAATTAAGACCTACTTTACAAATGACGTACACCCACCCGACTTGTGAGGAAAACTAGGCTGCTTCGCATAACGCCTGCGAAATTGACCTCTGTTACAAACAAGATCGATCTCAGATCGATAAATCTTATAGCGAGCTAAGTTTGAACAAGCCCATTCTTACCTGGCTCCCATCAATTTTCATAACCATTGTCCATCCTCCACCAGAACAACCTGAGACTGACGACATCTGACAGTAGACGTTCATCACTTGATTTCGTCCAACGCTGATTTGGTAAACACCACTACTAGGGTTCCTAAAAGGTGAAAATACAAAATGCTAACATGATTGTAAGTTATATAAAGTAGAGTAATTGTTCACACTAAGACGTGATCGAAATCGTCAGAAATGTTAAGGCAAAGATGACACACGAATGAACCCAAGCAAGAACTGCATTCAGTTACTCTACCCTTGCCCCATCAATATTTTTTTGCATGATCCATGAGTCAGCACCTTCACATCTTTAAAAGGAAAAAAAAGAGTGTTTTATTTTTGAATAAATGATAAAAATATGGAAAAGATGAACGGCTTATGGCACTCTTCTACTAAAGCTTCGGTGTAAAATAAATTCAACCTTTTTTCACGTTTGTTAATTCGTTTTTGAACTCTTGCTTGAAATTTGTAAGTCTACCAGCAACATCTAGGATCTTTCAACGAGAAAGAGAATGATGTAAAATTATATGTTATGCCAGCATTTTTATGGGTACCGTTATCCCATTGATACAGTATAAGATTAAATATGAATCATATCCAATATAATCCCCCCTCCTCAGGCAGGAGTGAAAGGACATCTGTCTACTCAAGCTAGATATAATTATCCTTGTATTTGTGTGTTTAAATATAAATTGCTTTGTTATGTTTTGACAAATCTTACATCCTGCCAAGTTGCCAAAGCTTTCCACTGAGATCTTTCTTTGAGGTAAATTTTTCTGTCGTCAGAGCTATAGGAGAGAAGACCTTCTATCTTTGGGAGTTTGTTCATTGATCGAGCATCAGGAACCACTGCAACCTGCATAAAATGATGCAAAACCCAAAACTGTTTGAACTACTGAACCAGCCAAGGTGTACAACAATAACTTTTCGCTAAATATATCAGTAATATTTGAAATTCCTAAAATAACAAGAGTAAAATAATATTCATACTGTAACCATGCATCAATTTACCCCATCATTGATTGTGACATCTTCACCATACGAACAAGGACCCTGCACAGAGAGAAAAATCTTGATTCACATTCGGGATTGTACAAACTTGTGATCTGCAAAACTGAATTTCTATAGACCCAAATTATTCAAACCACATTCACTACAAACTAGGAGGAAAAACCTTATACCTTTTTTCTTAATCCGTCTTCCACACGCCATGTTTCCAATTTCCCTGCATCGTTCCTTTCTTTAAACTCCATGCATCTTTTCCAAACACGTTTTGGTAAAGATGACCGGATCCAAAACCAAACTGTGATATTGTCCTCTTTCTTCAAAACCGTTCCACCATTGATTGCTTGACATCTTGGAGCGCAGTAATCCTTCTTACTGTCAGCGCCAAAACAAGCACAACACTAAAATTAAAAATATTTCAATTTTGAAATACTGTTAATCTTCCACTTGTTAGAGACTCTTTTATCGTATCATACCTCTCCATGATCACAGCCAATAAACGATGTTTGCTTGTCCTGAATACCGGAACGTTCAGACACAACACTGTAGCTATATCATGGAATAAAGAATGAAGAAACTCTTTATATTAGCATTGTTTAGTGGTTCCTGACTCCAAGAGCGCCAGAAGCATAGGGCAACTTCATTTCATACCTGTACGAGCCTGATGTATCAATACGAGTATTAGAAAAATAGGCAAAACCATCCGTACAAACTTGTTTAAAACATTGGTTCATTTTACTCTGTTGGAATAAAATAATAATAAAAGGTTAATTTTCATTTTGGGCAACATTTTGAGTTTGATCCTAATATCTTTACTAAAAAGGAGTACCAAACTCGACTAGGATATATATATATATATATAATTTAATACCCATCCTAGTCCTGGCGCAATTGCACCTCCGAATCGCGAACATTTAAAATTTCTTGTCGCAATCTCTCCAGTCATAAGATCTTTAACGAAGTTGACATCACCAATGCCTGGGTATTGATGACTGCATCCTCCTTTGTTGGACATAAGCAACTCCGATAGAACACGAGGGGATTTGAAACGATAATACCTTGGAAATACAAGGAACACAGTAGCGTGAGCCATGTGAAAAAAACTATATCCGCTCATTCCGCTGGGGAAAACGAGACAAAGAACAGCATTTTTAACAACACCAATTTACGTACCAGTGTGCTCGTGTATCGCGAAAATCTTTAGAGGTGGAAATCTGAACTCGGAAATCTAAGATTTCTTGCTCACCAAATGCACTTGACCACATTGGCTTACCGTGGGGGTGGATGAAAGAAGCGTTGGAAGGAATGGCCCAGGTTTCTGGTGTGTCTTTGACGCCAATCAACGAGAACCCACCACCGTCTGTTTCAACATCGCACCATGACTAAAATCAATTAAATGATTTTGAAAATCTTTTCCTTTGAATGCATGTCGTTAAAAGGAAAAAAACCTTTTTTGGACCATTTTGTGTCTGAATCCAGTAAGGTCCGCTTCTCGCTTTGGGAAGATTGTCCACAACACCAGAACAATCTTTCGCTGGATCAAAATAGTTGCCATACGAATGACCTGAACAATAATAGCGTGGTGATATAGCGTAATTCACATCAATAGAAGGAAAAATATTATTTAGCAACAGCTTCAACTATAATACAAGTTCTGGTATGAAGACTTGAGGTTTTCCCATCTTAATCTTCCATGATTATATAGTCAGAATGAATACCATTGATCATGTCCCACTGATACTCTCCATCGTGTTGAACACAGGCCACAATTTTATCATCATCATTGTTATCTTTCACAACCACAAACTTTCCTCGCTTATCTGCGGTGCAAATGCCGGGATCGTATGGGTTGACCTGTTGTTGCTACAATGAGATGAAAGTACATTGATAGCTTACACGTGATTCGCAGTTGATGAGCACTGACTGAACTATGTTGTTACAATTATTTAAGTTGTAACATTTTCAAAAGGCATGTTCGTGGACTACCTTGCAGTATTAAGATCTTTTATTGTCGTCGTTTCCTATAGCTCAACTTTAAGACGAAAGAGGGGAAAAGGTCACAATTGTAGTGTTGAAAGACTTTTTCAGTGTTGAAAGAATCTTTTTGTAATTGTAATTAATTACACTGCCATGCAACAATGCTAGCACTTCAGTCGTCTGTTCTTCTAAAGAGCTCTTTCAAACCACTACCTGCCAATCACAGATGATGAAAACAGGCAAATGAAAGCAATTATCAAGATGTTAAATCATTTGCGCGCAACTCTGCTTGAACATGATTGCGAATAGATCCTAGCTAAGTTATGGCAACTAAAGTTTAGCGCTCTCTATCGTATCGACTTGAATTTTAGATCTTTTCTGTTTCGATTCTTAGCCCAGTCTTATGAAGCGTCGCGTGATCATTCCCCCACTAGGTTGACCTATAAACATGATAGACAATAAAAAATAGAAAATACGTTTTTCAAAATATAAAACAGTATATACTCCAATAACGCTGAACATAATCAGCACAACCCAGTGGAGCCTACGAGCTGCGATATTTCAAACGCAGAATGATTGTTTTTAGCCTTTTAGTTTCAGCAAATGACGCAAAATACGACTGACTCACTTCCGATATCGTCTTAGAATGATTATAAAATACCTTGTTTATACTTTAGTACTTACAGTCACAGCATGAAGCGTTGTAAACAGGGTTAACACTAAAATTGTCGCCAATATTTTCATTTTAAACTGCTTCGGATCTTACCCTTGCTAAATATTTCCTCAAATGATGAGATTGTAAAATCAGGATATTGAATTTCTATTGTCGAGGTGTAAGTTGATATGACCGCTGGTTTTAATCTGTGCAGAAATTTCATCGGCGTGCGTGAGCCCTGTTGAAATTGTATGCACTCTCAATTTACCTTTTCTTCCTTGCCGGCGCCCGTGAGCGTGGTGAATCTCTCCTCAATGACGCTGTAAAGATGATCGATAGAGATTAACTTTTTCCATCGTCAGTGATCAAAACAATTCTGGCGTCACTGACGAGTAGGCATGGTTAAGAATCATTTAAGACGAAGAGGCATCTGTAAAATTTTATTTTTACATGCATACATGCTACTACACAATTTTTTTTCTAACCAATAATCATGTCCAACTATACCAGGAAAAACAACATTGTTGTATACTAATCATAATATGAATACTCGTTCCTTATACTATAAGCTTGTAAGTAAAAATCAAATGGAAGAAGTTTTGATTAACGGACGAGAATGTATCCCATTGCTCTAGCGTTCTTGTCTCCGTTGTTTGCTTGACATTTAGCAACGTTACCAGCGGTGTTAAGAGGAGCTCCTTTGAAACCACAATATGGAAAATTACCATCACCTCCAAGGCCGATGAAAGAGTCGGGGGAACCACAGTCATTTTCCTGATTTGCGGCTAAGCCCAACCGAACTCTTACATATCTTGTGCCAAAATACATATTAAATCCTTCTTTATTGCAATTGGGCTGCAAAGATGACCCAATGATGAGCTGTTTCCATTGAGAGCGACTAATATGAGTTTGACGATATTTACCATCTGCGATCAGATGATACAAAGACCTTGCTGGGTACCAGAAAGAGAATGCTCTGAGTCGACCACCATATTTCATCGCGACACAAATTTCTTTGAATGAAGTTTTCCAATATGTTGATCCTTTATATTGCCTGAAGTCAAAACCTCCGTTTCTTCCATAGGACGAGTCATAGTAAGTATTCTTGTTCGACCAATAACTGGAACTGTATCTGAAAGTACTCTAAAATAGATACGTTAAGATTATCTTTCACAACTTCCCTAAACTTATACGAATAACCAGAAATGTAACTAAAAATACTCTAAAACGGAGAAGTTAAAACTATACATATAACATCAAATAGTCTCTTCCACGGTTCAACATTCTTACCTGGCTCCCATCAATTTTCATCACCATCGTCCATCCTCCACCAGAACAACCTGAGACTGACGACATCTGACAATAGACGTTGATCACTTGATTTCGTCCAACGCTGATTTGGTAAACACCACTACCACGGTTGCTAGCAGATGTAATAACAAAATATCTGAGATGTGCATGAAGTTAGAACTAAAAGAGAACTGATATTTAGTTACAATACCTTTGACTCATCCATATTTGTTTGCACGATGAACGAGTCAGCACTTTTACATCTTAAAAGAACAACAAAAGATTACTATCCTATAAACGCCTTTTAAACCGTGATTATCCCGAATTCGTAACAATAAAAAGATTACCTTTAGTTACCCTTGCAAATTTAGTATTGGTCACGCGTTTGAAACTTTCTACTGCCCGTTTAAAACTTTCAAGTCTACCAATGACACCTTCAATCTTTTTATGAGATAAAAGTGAATATTAGGTTGCCAGAATATAACACTTTATGACATATGTTATTAATATCGACATTTATTCTGCATTCACAAAGAATAGTCTGGAATCTTTGCATCCATTTTGCATTAGATTGCATTGTTATTTTTCGACAAATCTTACCTCTTGTTGAGTTGCCAAAGCTTTCCACTGAGATCTTTCTTTGAGGTAAATCTTTTTGTCATCAGAGCTATAGGAGAGAAGACCTTCTATCTTTGGGAGTTCTTTCATTGATCGAGCATCAGGAACCACTGCAACCTGCAAAACATTTCCGGAAAATGACAAGAATTCCTGCCCAGACGGATGAAATAATGACCCTTTGCTAGATATCATGATTTGGGATTCCTCATTTGACAAGAGAAGATTAAATTAAATTTATACTGTTACAAAAAATTTACCCCATCATTAATTGTGACATCTTCATTATGGGAACACGGACCCTACATATAGAAGCAAAGAAAACAACATTAGAAGCGTGTTCATATGGATATTCATTGTGCAACATTGTAAACTCTGCATTATATAGTAACACAACATTCACTGGATGGAGAGCTATGGTGAATAATCTCATATCTGGAAAAGCTGTTATTGTGTTTCGTTTGCATTTCTCAAACCACAGATCACATACCTCTCTCTTTACTCCACCTTCCACACGCCATGTTTTCAATTTCCCTGCATTGTTTCTTTCTTTAAACTCCATGCATTTTTTCCAAACACGTTTTGGTAAAGATGGACGAATCCAAAACCAAACTGTGATATTGTCCTCTTCCTTCAAAACCGTCCCACCATTGATTGCTTGACATCTTGGAGCGCAGTAATCCTTCTTACTGTCAGGACCAAAACAAGCACAACACTGAAATGGAAAATATTTTCGTCTTTCAATACTGTAAAGGCCATGTTACACGGGCAATTTTTCTTGCAACTTGCAATGCAATTCTACTTTTGAGTACGAAAACTTTTTAAACGAAACTTTTATGTTTATTACACTTCATGCACTTTTCTTCTGCAGCACTCTTCACTAATTGACATCTCTTAGAAATACAATTGCATTGCAAGGTGCAAGAAAAATTGCACCGCGTAACATGGCCTTAAGTCTTGTTAGAGCTCTTTTATCGGATATACCTCTTTAGAGCTCTTTCAGAGCTCTTTTATCGTATAGAGCTCTTTTATCGTACTCTTTAATCGTATATACCTCTCCGTGATCACAGCCAATAAACGATGTTTGATTGTCCTGAATTCCGGAACGTTCAGACACAACACTGTAGCTATATAATGGAAGAAAAGTGAAGAAGTTCTATAGACTTTTAGCATTGCGTCATGGAGCCTGACTTTGGGATGGCTGAATAAATCAAACAAGACGAACATAATTATATATAATCACCTGTACGAGCCTGATGTATCGACATGATAATTAGGGGTATAGGCAAAACCATCCCTGCAAGCTTGTTTAAAACATCGGTTCATCTTATTCTGTTGGACAAAATGAGGTTAGTTTTGTTTCTTGTCGAAAGACCTCCATTAGTTGCATTTTTGGCATTGTTGAATATCAGTAATTTTACACACCCATCCTAGACCAGGCGCAATTGAAGCTCCAAATCGCGAACATTTGAAGTTTTTGGTTGGTATCTTTCCAGTCATGAGATCTTTAACGAAGGCAACTTCACCAATTCCTGGATATCGATGACTGCATCCTCCCTTGTGATATCGATGACTGCATCCTCCCATCTTCATGCATGTTACAAGAAATTCCACATGTGCCGCTGTCCATCTAAATCAAAGATTCATAAAAAGTGCCTGCAATATACTAAAACTCGTGCAAACTTACAACCTTTTAAATCTATATACTAGTGATAATAAGCAAAATTACAACCTTTTAAATCTATATACTAGTGATAATAAGCAAAATTACAACCTTTTAAATCTATATACTAGTGATAATAAGCAAACTTACAACCTTTTAAATCTATAAACTAGTGATAATAAGCAAACTTACAACCTTTTAAATCTATATACTAGTGATAATAAGCAAACTTACAACCTTTTAAATCTATAAACTAGTGATAATAAGCAAACTTACAACCTTTTAAATCTATATACTAGTGATAATAAGCAAAGTTACAACCTTTTAAATATATATACTAGTGATAATAAGCAAAGTTACAGCCTTTTAAATCTATATACTAGTGATAATAAGCAAAGTTACAACCTTTTAAATCTATATACTAGTGATAATAAGCAAAGTTACAACCTTTAAAATCTATATACTAGTGATAATAAGCAAAGTTACAACCTTTTAAATCTATATACTAGTGATAATAAGCAAAGTTACAACCTTTAAAATCTATATACTAGTGATAATAAGCAAAGTTACAGCCGTTTAAATCTTTATACTAGTGATAATAAGCAAAATTACAACCTTTTAAATCTATATACTAGTGATAATAAGCAAAGTTACAGCCGTTTAAATCTATATACTAGTGATAATAAGCAAAGTTACAACCTTTAAAATCTATATACTAGTGATAATAAGCAAAGTTACAACCTTTTAAATCTATATACTAGTGATAATAAGCAAAGTTACAGCCTTTTAAATCTATATACTAGTGATAATAAGCAAAGTAACAACCTTTTAAATCTATAAACTAGTGACAATAAGCAAAGTTACAACCTTTAAAATCTATATACTAGTGATAATAAGCAAAGTTACAACCTTTTAAATCTATATACTAGTGATAATAAGCAAAGTTACAACCTTTAAAATCTATATACTAGTGATAATAAGCAAAGTTACAACCTTTAAAATCTATATACTAGTGATAATAAGCAAAGTTACAACCTTTAAAATCTAGTGAGTGATAATAAGCAAAGTTACAACCTTTTAAATCTATATACTAGTGATAATAAGCAAAGTTACAACCTTTTAAATCTATATACTAGTGATAATAAGCAAAGTTACAACCTTTAAAATCTATATACTAGTGATAATAAGCAAAGTTACAACCTTTTAAATCTATATACTAGTGATAATAAGCAAAGTTACAACCTTTAAAATCTATATACTAGTGATAATAAGCAGAGTTGCAACTTTTAAATCTATATACTAGTGATAATAAGCAGAGTTGCAACCTTTTAAATCTATATACTAGTGATAATAAGAACATCAGTTAATTGGCTTTGACAAAAAGAAAGTAATCAAATCCGAGATGTGTTTGTTCAGTTAACGGACCAGTATGTATCCCATTGCTTTAATATTCTTGTCTCCGTTGTCTGATGAACACGTACCAACATTGCCAGCGGCGTTACGAGAAGGTCCAGGGAGGCAATACCTAAACTGCTGATCAGCACCCAGGCCTAGGAAAGAGTCGGGAGAGTTGCACTCATTTTGCTCGTTTCCAAGGATGCCAAACCGAACTTTTCCATAATTGGCAGGGTTCACGTTAAATCCCTCTTTATTGCAATTACGCTGTAAAGATGATCCTTGGATGAGCTGTTTCCATTGAGAGCGACCGACGTGAGTTTGACGATACCTGCCGTCAGCGATCAGATGATACAAGGACGATGCTGGATACGAGAAAGAGAGAGCTCTGAGTTGACCACCATATTTCATCGCGACACAAATTTCATGGAATGATGTTTTCCAATATGTTGATCCTTTGAATTCTCGGTTGTCAAAACCTCCGTTTCTTCCATCGTCATTGTCATTGAAAGTGTTCTTGTTGGTCCAATAACTGGAGCTGTAGTCGAAAGTGCTCTAAAAAAGATCAGAAGTAGATGAAACTGTCCTACATTCCGTATTCAAACCTATACATATGACATTAAATAGTCTTTCACGATAATTCTTACCTTGCTTCCATCAATTTTCATGACCATCGTCCATCCTCCACCAGAACAACCTGGGATGGACGACATTCGACAGTAGACGTTCATCACTTGATCTCGTCCAACGCTGATTTGGTAAACACCACTACCACGGTTGCTAGCAGATGCAAAATATGTCTTTAACACTGAGATATTCGCTTTAAAATTAATATTGCAAAACAACCAGGAACTTGATGTATATGAACTTGGAACTAAAAGACTGGTATTTAGTTACAATACCTTTGACTCATCCATATTTGTTTGCACGATGAATGAGTCAGCACCTTTACATCTGAAAAGAACAAAAAAGTGTGCGCTGTTGTCAAACATATAGAAAAGAAATCATACATCATTAGATCATGATCCAAAAATAGCCTTTTAAACCGTGATTATATCCCGAATTCGTAACAATAAAAAAGATTACCTTTAATTACGTGTGCAAACTTATTATTGGTCACGCGTTTGAAACTTTCAAGTCTGTCGATGACACCTTCAATCTTTTTAAAAAATTAATATTAATATCTGCTTCACAAAGAATAGCCTGGGACCCTTGCATCTGTCCTGTTGCAAAGCTCTAAAGAATGTATTAGATTGCATTGTTATTTTTCGACAAATCCTACCTTTTGCTGAGTTGCCAAAGCTTTCCACTGAGATCTTTCTTTGAGGTAAATCTTTTGGTCATCAGAGCTATAGGAGAGAAGACCTTCTATCTTTGGGAGTTCTTTCATTGCTCGATCATCAGGAACCACTGCAACCTGAAAAAAAATCCAGAACATGACATGCATAAACTCACTTGTCTAAAAACTCCGGTCAGGGTGGAATGATGCATGATTTCAGACTCCCAAGTACAGGGTTTTGGATTCCTTAGTTGACAAGGGAAAATTAAATTACATTTAT